ATATATATATATATATATAGTTGTCACATCACTCTCTCTATCTAGTTTTCCGCACATCTTGTCATAAAAAGCTAAAAAACCAACTAATAAATTAGCAACGAGGCCTTGGTGTAGATTGCACTTGTGCAGTGTGGGAAACCTATGTACACTGCATATAAAATTTCCTCTTAATTAGTTTTCTCATTTTGTGATTCTGATTATATGTTTGTTTTTGTATTTGTTCTTGAATGTCCTAATACTGAATGCGAAATGTAGTACACTAGTAGATTGTTATAATGTTTACAGGAATGTAGTACTTATGTAGTATTCAGGTTTTATTTGGCTGTTATTCTTTTTGGTCTTTTCTTTGGTCATGGATTAATCTTCTTATGGTTCTGCTGACTAGCTTAAGTAAGTCGATGCTTGCAAATTGTGACTCTGATTCTCTTTGTGAAGAGAGGAAAAATTAATCATGGCTTCAAGATCAATTCTACGGAGAAGGAAGTTTGTCTCTGCTTACCTTAATGTCTCTGCACGCTCAATTCAAAGTTTTCAAATTCTTGGTCATGGACAATCCAATCAGTATGTGGATTCTCGTGGTTTGAGCTCTGGTGCAAATCATCCTTCTGGAGATATTTTTTGCATAAAGGATGGGGATGCAGGTTCAGCTGTGAATGAGGATTTACTAAAATTTTCGGCATTGGGAATCTTTAAGCATAGATGCTATGGAGTTACGGCATCCGGTCATGTGAATGGAAGATCACAATTTATTCTCCCCATGGGGATGAGGTTGATGCCGCAATCTATACATTATGCTTCGACAGCCACGGCAGGTAAGCCTGACTTGGGTAGCGATGATGAAGATAAGGAGGAACTAGTTGCTGAAAAGAGAAAAGAAGCATCTCCGGAGGAATGTGATCAAGCTGTTGAAGGTCTGAGTACTGCCAAGGCCAAAGCTAAAGCCAAACGATTGCAAGAATCTGAAAAGGTTGCTAAGTCTGCTTTACAAAGAGTATGGGCCACACTCCTGGGAATTGGCCCAGCTTTGAGAGCTGTTGCTTCGATGAGCAGGTTAACAATTTTGCATTTGTTGATTTATTTGTTTATTACCAAGTCAACATGTTTCAAATTTAATACTTAGTTGATCATTTTCTTTCTTTAGGGAAGATTGGGCAAAGAAGCTAAGTCATTGGAAAAATGAATTTATATCAACACTGCAACATTATTGGTTGGGTTGTAAGCTACTGTGGGTTGACGTGAGGATCAGTTCAAGGTTGCTGCTTAAACTTGCTGGTGGGAAGAGTCTCACCAGGAGGGAGAGGCAACAGCTAACCCGAACCACAGCTGATATTTTTAGACTAGTTCCATTTGCTGTTTTTATCATTGTCCCATTCATGGAATTCTTGCTCCCAGTTTTCTTGGCGGTATTTCCCAACATGTTACCATCAACATTTCAAGATAAAATGAAAGAACAGGTACTGATTCTTCTTGGGCTTGAAATCTATTCCTTGTTTCATGCTAAATGAATTGCAATTTGCATGCTGTAGACTTCATCCTTTTTTTATTTTTCCCCTTGATAAGTGCTGAAGTTTCCATCTTTGTTCTCTTTCTATTATGTTTACATTGTTTATTGTTTGGATGTGTCTTATCGTGAGTTATTTGTTAGAATCCTAAAATTACCCCACATCAATGAAGTGTGAGCTTGACCATGTGAATGTAAGCTCTTGTGCACTTTTTCCTTGCAAGCCAGTTTTTAAGGGTTCATTTGGTATCAAAGATAGCCACCACGTCGAGTATGTAATCAGATACAACCCATGTGAGTATTGGATGGGGTGTGACTTTGTGGTTTGAGTTGCAGAATGATTGACTTATTGGTTGGATTAAGATACCTTAGAATTATGTATGGGCATAGTACTGAGGGTGTTGCATATGAATAGGTGAGTGAAGTCGCCAAAAAGGAAAGTGCTACCATCAGGTCTGTTGATAGAGTGGATCGTTGTGGACGTTGGTTGTGGAGCATGGTGGTGTGTTACAATCCTACAATTGTACCACATCGATGAAGTGTGAGCTTTACCAAGTGACTATAAGCACTTGAACCCCCTTTCCATGCTAGCCAATTTTGAAGGGTTAGTTTGTTCCACTATTGTAGAGCTTATTCTAGGTTATCTATGGTACATTTCCTTGTCAGATGCATGACATTCTATCAAGTTCTTTTTTCTTGGAGTCTTATATAGGGCTATTTACACTCATCCTGGAAGCTTGCACTTTTGGAACTCATCCTATTATAGACCGTGCCTCGACAATTTGGAGCAAAAACCTTCATTATTGGACTTCTCCCCTTGACCCTCGGACCATTATTATGTCTAGTTTTGCTTAAGATCTTTAAACATGTTAAAGATTTTTTTGTGCTCCAGTGTGCGCAGTGCACCCATGTTTTGATGTGGGCTGGCGGCCCTATGTCCATGCACTGATTTATCACACTTCAAAAGAAACGATATAATAACACCTACTTTCTTCTTGGTGAGTCAAAGTGGGGTTCCATTCTCCCTTGCCTTATGACCTAGGCATTCTGTTTCTAGATTTCTAGAATATTGTAAAGGGCTCCAATATTTGTCTTTCAGCTTTTCATTCTCGCTCAAGCCACTCAACTATCTCTAGTTCTTTCATAGAAGACCTTGATTTGAAAAGAAAAATCACTGCATTGTGTGTTCCATTCTTACTTTGCAAAAATGCATTTCCAAAGGTACCTTAGCAAACTTGGAAGCAGATAAACTATAAAGAATAGAAGAGTAATTGATTGCTCTTGAGGACCTGTGAAAAAGTTGTCTACTCGATCAAATATTTACTAAATTGATGACTTCAAATTTACAACACACACACACACATATATTCTCTTTAGTTTTTTATTTGGTTGGAAATTAGTTTGTTCTTACATTGTCTTTCTTATTCTAGTCATTAATACCCCAAAAATAGAGGGACTTTTAAATCTTCTAGGATATATAAGCATTGGAAAATTCAATAAGATGGGTTTTAGTCAATTTTGAATTATAATGAAGAGATAGGTTGAGGCATCTGACCTGGTTTGAACAATAAGAATCTCACCTTTTGATTTGGGCATTTGTGAAATCTCTAAATGGGCGGTGCACGGCATCTTATTAGTCACCACACAAAGAAGCAGGTGGTTTTATTCTTCTTCAATTCGTTTATACATGCTAGGAGGTTTTCATTTGTGGCTCAGTTCTAGTTATGCTGGAAGTTTATTAGTAAGAAATATTAAATGTATAAGCTGCTAGCAGTTATTAGCTTTCAGGTTAAACTTTTCACAATCTAGACGAGGACCTGAGTCTTTGAAGTTTGCAATGCTGGATAATTCTGAAGTCAAAAATTTTATTTACATTCTCCTTAGTCTTTACCAAACTCACAACCTTTCTTAAAAGGAGATAGATTGGAAATTGCCAACTTTTATGGCATACACCTCTACATGTATATCCTAAGCTATATCTGTGTCAATATGTTCATCAAAATTTGGCACACAATCAATGATATGCCTTATCGTTCAAGTTTATACTTCTAGAAGTGTAATTCGACTTTTGTGACCATTACAAAAAATACAAAGATTCAGTGCATGTTCGTATTTGTTTTGTGTTTATTGAATTTTTTAAAGATTTATTCACAAATATTTTACTTATTGAGTGTATCTAGATTAAGTAGATCTAAAAAGTAAAACAAAAATGATTAAATTTTTTAAAAAGTTCAATAAAAACAAAAAAATACGGATTGAAAACTCAAAAAACTATTTTTGAAAACTCAAAACCAAACAAAAACCAAGTGTCTAATTTGGATACTAATTTGATTACATGGGTTTGACACAAAACACAAATCCTTAGCCTTGTCATATTTGGTGGATGCGAATACACTAGGGAGAATAGAAGAGTCCATGTAACACTGATTTATACCTGAATGTTATGGATATTATACTTCCATGACAAGGTGACACCACACATTTATGGTATTGCTATGCAAAATTGTTTCCCTTTTTCATTTTAGTGCATAAATTCCTCCCTTGTACGGTGTGTACTAGATGTTGGTGACACCATACCTCTTTATATATGAAGTTATATCTTTTACTTATATTCCTTCTCCATATTTTGTCACTAATTTAAGTGGAATGTACATTTGTCCATTTGCACGGGCACTCATAGGTGCTCTTATTTTCATGTACATTTGCATGCATACGAACAGCTACAATGCATGCCATGGGTTTTATTGTTGCCCCCGTTTCAAGCTGGATATTTGATTCACATCAAATGCTTAACTTGTAGGAAGCATTGAAAAGGAGGCTAAATGCAAGAATAGAATATGCAAAATTTCTCCAGGGGACTGTTAAAGAAATGGCGAAGGAAGTCCAAAGCTCACGGAGTGGAGAAACTAAGAAAACAGCTGAAGATCTCGATGAATTTTTGACCAAGGTCAGTTACAATTCTAACAGTCAGCGCCTTGTATATATTGTTTTCTCTCTTGCTGTTAATCACGATATGTATGACCTGGTATGTTGTGTAGGTTAGAAGAGGTGCTGGTAATTTTATTGACGAAATTTTGAGCTTTGCTAAGTTGTTCAACGATGAACTCACACTGGATAATATTAGCAGGTTGAGCTTTAGTATCATTGATTGTGCATTATGCTGTATCCTAGCTATTTTATGTAGGTTTACTATCATACCACCGTGAGTATGGGTGGCCTTTTTAATTTTATGGTGTAAAAGATCTGGGTGAGTTCGGACACAGTTAAGATTGGGCTGTCTGGTCTATCTTCGTAAATCTCACGGCTTGTTTTGAGGTTGACTTGAACTTTTTGACCTGCTTGTGCTCTAGTTTGAATTTATGACTTAGATGATTGATTTTTCCTCAACTTGGAAGAAAGATATTGTGGATTTATTTTGATAAATTGTAGTGTCCTTGGAATAGTTTAAGCCCCTTGAAATGAGACTTCTGGAATTCACAAAAGTTGTGCCAGAAAGTGGTGTGGGGCTATAGAGGTTTGAGCCAATTACCCTCTCACTGCATGAAAAATATATTCACCTTTGATCTGTGTCTCTGGTTGTGTAATAAAAAGTTGAAACTGTTCGCCAAATACGTGCAATCACATGCTTCATGACCCGCGACTAGTGGGCTATTTTATGAAATATTGAGGGGCCCAATTATTTTCTTGGAACCTTGTCTTGGTTATCATGTGTCATTCGGGCCCTCCACGAAGTCTAAACCTTGTTCCATGATGTAGAAAAATGAGCTAAAAAAAGGATTAAATACACAGACACAGATTCACAGAAATATGCACGTTAATATGCATAGGCTCATCTTTGTGCATAAATTTCTTTTTCTTATTTTATTGAGGACTATCATAGATTAAGGGAACCTTGTCTTGGTTATCATGTGTCATTCAGGCCCTCCACGAAGTCTGAACCTTGTTCCATGATGTAGAAAAATGAGCTAAAAAAAGGATTAAATACACAGACACAGATCCACAGAAATATGCACGTTAATATGCATAGGCTCATCTTTGTGCATAAATTTCTTTTTCTTATTTTATTGAGGACTATCATAGATTAAGTTTGGAAAGTATTCCTTGTTAAGAATAATTTGAAGAATTGCATGTTTACATAAAGGTGGTTTGACCTGAGGGAAAATACATTTTCGAATGGTAGATATCCTTGAATTATTGTTGTTATTATTGTTTGTTTTGTATGGATAAAGAACGATGATAAAATGATACAAGCGGAGGGTTTGGAGTCTCTTTCAGAAGCTGAACTTCGTGAAGACTGTAGAGAGCGAGGCATGCTTGGTTTACTTTCAGTTGAGGAAATGCGCCAACAGGTTTTTTTCTTTCTTTTTTTTTCCCTTCTCTTTCTCCCACTCTTGGATCTACTTGTTTGTTGCTCTTTTTAATCTTTGACAATTAGAATTGAAAAGAAGTATAAAGCTTGAAAATTCCTTGAATTATGTCTAGTGTATAGAATATTAAATGCAGACTGAGGATCTCATTCCAAGGTCCATGGTTTCATAAAGAAATTATATTTTTGGATAGCATTTTTTTTGTGTTTGTAGAAATTCCAAATTACATTAAATGGTCTCATTAATTCCTATTGTTGTACAAGGGGATTGTGAGGTAAAATTGAACCAGCCCATCCTATCATGGGTATGCTAACTCCCCTGAATAAGTTTCTCTTTTGGCTTGGTTTGTAAACGTCTCACGTAAGTTAAATAGAAATTTCAAGATTAACATGTGCACTGGTCATTCCTGGCTTGAATTTTATCCCATTGGTGTTTTTCTGAATAGTCACGGGTTGTGATTACATAAATCTCATGTTTTCAGCAAAACATGGGTATGCTAACTCCCTTGAAGAAGTTTCTCTTTTGGCTTGGTTTGTAAACGTCTCACGTAAGTTAAATAGAAATTTCAAGATTAACATGTGCACTGGTCATTCCTGGCTTGAATTTTATCCCATTGGTGTTTTTCTGAACAGTCATGGGTTGTGATTACATAAATCTCATGTTTTCAGCAAAAGAAAACCAGATGGTTTCTGCAGCCTACAAGCTTCATTTTGTTGACATACAATAGAGCTGGGCCATATGGGTTCTTCCAGTTTGTATGCTTCTTTAACTGGCTTTGCCAAGGGTTTTGTTCGCCGGTTCACTGGTTTGACTATGTTGGCTGGGATGGTTCTTTTTACATTGGCACATGAGCTACTTTTTTTGGTATAAGTAGAATTTTGTGCTTCTTCACAAAAAAATTTAGCTGCACATATTTATGAAAAAATCCTTGACTAAAGCCTAAGAGCATGACATGCTGTTGTAATTTAATATTGTGATAAAATTCAAGAAGATGGCATTCTAATTGACACATTGATTGAAGCAGTCTACCCAATGTCTCTCCATAAAAGCAATTTTGTAAATTCAGCTTGAGGAGGGCTTTTAAGAAGCTCAAGAACATCTATATTAAATGGAATTGGATGTGTGTTGGGTGTTGGTAGGCATCTAATTATAGAATATATATTAATTCCCAAATCCAAGGACATCAGGATATGGCTAAACGTTCCTATCTTTTTTTTGTAATATTAGAAAGGTATTTTGTGTGATGGAGATTATTTGGCATGGGCAGCTGCTTGACATCAGCTACACATGAATCTCTCTCTCTCTCTCTCAATTTTACAGCCCAGCTACATTTACAGCATTTTTGATAAATTAACATATTTGGTGCAGAAGTTTAATGTAAGTGTATAATTTCTTTCTTTAGCTCCGTGATTGGTTGGATTTGTCTCTCAATCACTCAGTACCATCTTCACTTTTGATCCTCTCCAGGTATTTTAAAGGCCCTTTCAGTTCTAATTTTTGTAATCAAAATTGGAAGCCACACCAGTTTGTTTTAATCTATAACTTGAACTGCATTTGACTTTTTCCTGTTTTGATACTGTACACAGAGCCTTCACTGTTTCTGGTAAGTTAAAGCCGGAGGAAATCGTTGGGGCTACATTGTCTTCACTTCCAGATGAGGTTGTCGATACTGTTGGTATCGTAGCCTTACCATCTGAAGATTCTGTTTCAGAAAGGAGGAGGAAATTGGAGTTCCTTGAAATGCAAGAAGAACTTATCAAGGTTAATAATCTTGTGGTTTATTTTATTGCCAATTAACACGCTCTTTGACTTTTTGACCAATCATTCTTTTGGTGACAATATGCCAAGATAATTCTACTTTCAAATTTTACTGCTTTTGCCTTGTATTGACAGCTAGTCCTGATGTCTTCACTTTTGTTCCTATCATGGGAACTTGAATCCTGAAGCAAAAAATGGAAAAATGTTTAGTACTTTCAATACTGTGGATAGATTGGGGACTTTGTTAGGAAATAAGGTTGACACCCAAATCTCAAGGTGCATTGTATTATTGTGTTCGACAATGCTACGTAGCTCAAATTTTGTGGCTCAAAAGTGGCTCAAATGGCCAAAACGACGTCGTTTTGAGTACAGAACAACATAAAAATAACTACATCATCATTATTTTGAAAACTTCGTCATCTAATTTAAAAAATGATATTTGTTATTGTCTATCTTTCATACTCATTAACCATGAATTGATACTATTTTTAACGTGGACTATAATTCATCGAATTTGGCATCTTCACACACACACCGAGTACGAACTTTAAGGTAGGTTTGATTAGTAAAATTAATAGTGAAAGAATTATTAATTGATGAGATTAATGTAGGATTTGTTATCCAATTGGATTAGTGAGATACATAATTTTTACTTATTCATATTTGTTTTACAACAAATATAGAAATATATAATTTCAATTATATGTATGCTTTACGTTATTAGTTGGAGAATTAAAAAATTCATTAATTTTATTAGATAAATTGACCATTAGATTTAATTCAAATAATAAAATTTATAACCAAACCTATATTATAATTCACTCAATCAAACCAACCTTGAAAGGTTTTGGCAATGGTCCCCCTTTAAGTGACTTGATCATGTGAATGCATAGCATTCACCAACAAATGTACCTTTGTCTTGTCCTCTTGGCACGTGATATGGGACCTATGATAAGTAAATGCCTTCCATTAAATACTGAGTCACTTATTATTATGAGAACAAAAGCTCTGACATTACAGGAAATTCACTTTTGTCGATTAATAAATTTTAGTCGCAAAAAAAATATTTTTGCTGACTAATAAAAAAATTAGTAGCTAAATTTTCTTATTTTTACTGACTAAAGTTGTTTAGCCGTACAAAACTGATTTTTGCGACTAATTTGAAATTTTAGTCACCAAAAAATTATGTAGGAAGGTGAAACATTGGACGGAAGTCTAAAAGCTTTTAGCGACTAATGCAATTTGGTTGCAGATGTCAAAACGATATCGCTTTGCTATGTGATCTTGGCCGACCAACACTTTTGTGGGGAAAACAAATTAAAACAAATTCAAAGCCTTCTAATGTCTGTATCACCAAAATCGCGCCTAATTACAATTGGCCCTCTAAATTGCGCCACTCACCTCACCTTTTCAAGCACTGTCGTTTGCCATCCTCTCCTCTCTACTGTCAACATCACCATCCATCTTCACCTCACCACCGTCCGTCTTTGCCTCAGCGGCCATGTCATCGGTGTTTATAATAAAACATCACTAAAAGTTTTAGTGAAGTTTCTGACAAATTTAGTAACGTTTTTCAAACACTGCTAAAAGCAATATTTCCTGCCGTGGCAAAATGCAAAAGTGTTGTTTTAACGAACTGCAATTTGACACTACTTTCATTTAGTTATTTTTCAAATTTTACAGGCACAAAGTTTAATCATTGTCAAAATTTGACCGGCCATTAACGAACCACAATTTTGCATTTTTTTGTCAAAATTTAAGTTTTACAATTCTTTTAACGGTTGTATTGGATGCCCCAAACATAGTGAATATTCATTTGTCATAGTGTCGCAACTAATATTGAATAATTTTCATAACAACCAACTTGACTTGGTTTAAGAAAAACTTATTTAGAACTCTAAGAGTAAACACATTTAGTGTCTCAAATTGATTTTTATCGATTAAAATAATAAGGTTTGTTACTTTCAAGTTAATTTTTATTAGATGTTTCATCTAGTGATAATGTAGAACGACTCATTCCTTCAACAACCAAAACATTCTAGTTGTATAGAGTGCTATCATCACATTAATTTCTGTCCTAATGATATAGTCGTTTTATTTCATTTCTTTCGGCGACCATATTAAATGGATGAATTATACTTTCGCATATTAAATGGCAACAAGCATATTGATCATTAGTCAATGTGAGAACAGGATTTGAACAATATTAAATATGGTTGTGGGAACAAGATTACACTTTCAACAACCATATTAAGGTAAATTACACTTTCCAACCCTACACCTTGCACTAAATCCCACTCTAGCCGCTACATATGACATAATGACAGTCAACCTCCAGCACATCTAGTTAAATACCATTTTGTTCCTTACACATGAAATTGTAGCAATCAACCTCCCGTACTTTTGGTTAAATCTCACTTTGGTCCATATACAAATATCAATGTCCCCTTTCACTTACTCAATTGTTTAAATGTTTAACAGAATCTAGTCATGTGATAAGAATATGAATACGACATGAGGGTAAGAATGAAAAGCATCTACATTTTCCACCAATACACACTTTATGCCAAAATTTTCATCAAAATATGACTATATTTGGCTAAAACAAAATACAGATTGTGAACTATTAAGAAGATGAATTAGGGTTTTGCAAAAATAAAAAATCCAAAACTTAGTTTTTCATCGTAACATAGTATTCTGTCTATTCATCTTTCTTTCTCTTTGATTTCTTTGTCGCATTTTTTTAATTTGAAAACCTCCACTTCTTTGCTTTTTCGTCCTAATTTTTACCATGCAACTGTATATATATTGTATTATATAACTCTCGTGTCCTTATCACGTAGGACAAAATGTATTGGTTGGAAACATAAATGATTTTCCTCTCTTACCCTTATTTCGTAATCACATTTTTGTCACATGACTGGATTTTGTTAAAGATTTAAAAATGAAGTAACAAAAAAAAGGGACAATGACAGTTGTGTAGGGACCAAAGTGAGATTTGATTAAAAGTATAGGATTTGACTGTCACGATTTCATGTGTAAGGACTAAACTGCGATTTGACCAGAAGCACAAGGTGTTGGTTGTCATGATTTCATGTGTAGGAGCCAAAATGAGATTTGGTGCAAAGTGTAATTTATCCAATGTAAAACTAATCTAGAAAAATAAATCGCCAATTGAAGGGAAGAAATAGCATTTAGTGGCGCTTTGTAAAAACACGCCACTACAGGTGTCCACATGAAGTCATGCTACCGAAAATCTTCGCCGCCGGTAGCTATAAGACAACGTTTTTGAAACATTGTCGAAAAGTCAAAGGCTATGTTTTTTTAAACGTCATAAACATATAGCAACGACCGCGTCATCAACGTTTACAGTAAAACGTCACTAAAAGTTTTAGTGACGTTTTCAAACACCGTTAAAGCCATATTTCCTGCAGTGGAAAAATGCAAAGGAGTTCTTTTAATGAACTGCAATTTGACACTACTTTCATTTAATTATTTTTCAAATTTTGCTGGCACAAAGTTTGGTCATTGTTAAAATTTGACAGGCCATTAAAGAACCACAATTTTGAGTTTTTTGTCAAGATTTAAGTTTTACAATTCCTTTAACGGTTGTATTAGATGCTCGAAGCACAGTGACTATTCATTTGTGATAGTGTCGCAACTAATATTGAATAATTTTCATAGCTACCAACTTGACTTGGTTTTAGAAAAACTTATTTAGAGCTCTAAGAGTATATACATTTAGTGTCTCAAATTGATTTTATAGATTAAAATAATAAGATTTGTCACTTTCAAGTTAATTTTTATTAGATGTTTTATTTAGTGATAATGTGGGACGACACATCCCTTCAACAACCAAAACATTCTAACTCTATAGAGTGCTACCATCACATTAATTTCTGACCTAATGAGAAAATCATTTGATTTGATTTCATTTCTTTCAACGACCATATTAAATGGATAAATTACGCTTTCGCATATTAAATGACAACAACCATATTGATCATTAGTCAAAGTGGGAACAAGATTTAAGCAATATTAAATATGGTAGTGGGAGTAGGATTACACTTTCAACAACCATATTTGGGTAAATTACACGTTGCACCTATACACTTTGCACCAAATCTCACTTTAGCCGCTATATATGAAATCATGACAGCCATTTTTGCTCAAATTCCACTTTGGTCTTTACACATGAAATTATAACAGTCAACCCCCTGTACTTTTGGTCAAATCTCACTTTGGTTCCTATACAAATGCTAATGCCCCATTTATGTTACTCAATTGTTTAAATGTTTAGTAGAATCTAGTCATGTATTAAGAATGTGACTATGACATGAGGGTGAAAAAGGAAATCACCTACATTTTCTGTCAATACACATGTTATTCCAAAATTTACATCAAAATATGACTGTATTAGGCTAAAACAAAACGCAGATTATGAACAATTAATTAAGAATATGAACTAGGGTTTTGCATAAATTGAAATCACGAAACTCTATTTTTCACCAAAACACAGTCTTTCGTTTATTCATCTTTCTTTTTCTTTGATTTATTTGTCTCATGTTTTTTTATTATTTAAAAGCTCTACTTTCTTACCTTTTTATCTTAATTTTTACCATACGAATTTATATGTATATATATTGTATTATATAACTCTCATGTGCTTATCATGTAGGACAAAGTGTATTGATGGGAAACATGAATGATTTTTCTCTCTTACCTTCATTTCGTAGTTACATTTTTGTCACATGACTGAATTTTGTTAAAGATTTAAAATGAAGTAACAGAAAAATGGACATTGACAACTGTGTAGAGACCAAAGTGGGATTTGATTAAAAGTACAGGGGTTGACTGTCATGATTTCATGTGTAAGGACCAAAGTGGGATTTAACCAGAAGCGCAAAGCGTTGGCTGTCATGATTTCATGTGTAGGAGCTAAAACGAGATTTGGTGTAAAGTGTAATTTACCCAATATAAAACTAATCTAGAAAAAAGCAATCACCAATGGAAGGGAAGAAATAACATTCAGTGGCATTTTGTAAAAACATGCCACTATAGGTGTCAATATGACATCATGCTACCGAAAATCTTCGCCGCCAGCAACTATAATACAACGTTTTTAAAACAACACCAAAAAGTCAGAGACGGCATTTTTTAAATGTCGTAAACATATAGTGACGGGTGCGTCATCAGCGTT